CCGTGCTGGGCTCGGGCCTGGTGGCGCCGGTGTCGCCCTACAAGCCGGGCCAGACGGTGTTCCCGCTGCCCCCCGCGGGCATGAGCTACCCGGGCAGCCTGGCGGGCGCCTACGCCGGCTACCCGCCGCAGTTCCTGCCGCACGGCGTGGCGCTCGACCCCACCAAGCCCGGGAGCCTGGTGGGCGCGCAGCTGGCGGCGGCCGCGGCCGGCTCGCTGGGCTGCAGCAAGCCGGCGGGGTCCAGCCCGCTGGCCGGCGCGTCGCCGCCGTCCGTGGTGACGGCCAGCCTGTGCCGGGACCCCTACTGCCTCAGCTACCACTGCGCCAGCCACCTGGCGGGGGCCGCGGCCGCCGGCGCCTCGTGCGCGCACGACCCGGCCGCCGCGCTCAAGTCAGGGTACCCGCTGGTGTACCCCGCGCACCCGCTGCACGGCGTGCACTCGTCGCTGACGGCCGCCGCGGCCGCGGGCGCCACGCCGCCCTCGCTGGCCGGCCACCCCCTCTACCCCTACGGCTTCATGCTCCCCAACGACCCGCTCCCGCACATCTGCAACTGGGTGTCGGCCAACGGGCCGTGCGACAAGCGCTTCGCCACGTCCGAGGAGCTGCTGAGCCACTTGCGGACCCACACGGCCTTCCCCGGGACGGACAAACTGCTGTCGGGCTACCCCAGCTCCTCGTCCCTCGCCAGCGCCGCCGCGGCGGCCATGGCGTGCCACATGCACATCCCTACGTCGGGCGCGCCCGGCAGCCCGGGCGCCCTGGCGCTGCGCAGCCCCCACCACGCGCTGGGACTCAGCAGCCGCTACCACCCCTACTCCAAGAGCCCGCTCCCCACGCCCGGCGCCCCGGTGCCCGTGCCCGCCGCCACCGGACCCTACTACTCCCCCTACGCCCTGTACGGACAGAGACTGACCACGGCCTCGGCGCTCGGGTACCAGTGAGGGCGGCCCGAGGCGTCCCGAGGGCCAGAGAGGAGCCGCCGGGGGAGGGGAGGAGCCGGGCAGGGGCAGGAGCCCGGCAGGGGCAGGAGCCCGGCTGGGTTCCCGGACGCCCGCTGGAGCGGAAGATCCGGGCTGCCGAAGAGAAGAGAAAGCCCACACCTTACCCATCCACCCAGCAACCTGGAGCGGGTGAGCCTGGGGAGGAAGCCCTTCTCCACCCTGCTACCCCGTCCAAACTTTATAAAAGTTGAAAAAAAAAATCATTGACTTTTTATAGAGAAAGAAGGAAAACTAACTGAGAAAGTGTTCATCAGAAGACTTCGCCGGTGAACGTCGGTATTTATTTATGTTAGCTCCAAGCGGACCCGTGGTTCAGAAGTGCATTATTTAGTGTGAGCTCCGTAGCTTAAATGGAGGAGGGAAATTAAAACTCGAGGGTGAAGATGTGGAAGACAGCCCCTCCAATCCCTTGTAGAGTATAAATAAAAACAAAACCGCTACAGAACTAGGGGTCTTCTCTTTAATGTTACTTTAAAATTGCTATGATTGTATTGTGCGTTCTTATTTAATGTCTGATTGAAACTCAAATTTACATGCATGTTTGTTACAAAAAAAAAAAGAAAAAGGCGAAACAAAATAAGTCACAATTTGTCAACTCTGATTTCAAATTGCAATTATTTTTAAGGTGTACACCATCGAAAGAGAATGGGTATTTTTTTGTATGTATTCTGGAAGAAAAAAAAAAAAAAAGGAAAAACGATTCTATTCCAAAACCTCATTTGCCTTATTTTGTTCTTTAAAGGAACACTTAACTATTTTTAATTTTTAAGTTCACCCGCTGAGAAGGGGACAAGGTTTACGTCATGTGCTAAAATAATAGACAATGTAACGCTTTAAAGATTAAAATTCCGTATATTTGATGTATTAAAAGGATTTACTTCTTATTATCTTTTTATTTTTCACTTTTGTTAAAGCGGTTTCAGCTGCGGCTGGTTCCCGGACGTCCTGCCACCTTCTGCCTAGGATCGTAGCTGAATTTCCTGCTGCTTTGTTGTGATTTTCCTGAATAGGCAAAGCTTCAGAGGGGCTGGCCAGCTGAATGGCTGGCCCTGAGGAAGAATGTTTTTCCAGAGAGGATTCCACGATGTGGAAACATAGTATCCTGGGCTAATTGCTCCTTTCGTTTTTATGTAAATCTCTCGGAAGCTGGTTTGTGAAAAGTGAAAGCGGGGGAAATACAGACTTTGGTTTTTGCTAAGGTTTTCTTTTAAGGTGGGGGTGAGGGCTGCGTTTAAGTTTCGTTTTGTGCAGAGAGCAGCGGCGCAGGCTGGGACTCGCCCGGCAGGGCCAGAGGCCCCGCGGGACGCACCGCTGTGTGGCGGCTCCGCTCTTCACGTTGCAAGCACCCCGGGCCTGGGACTGGCCGAGCAGACAGACTAGCAGGGCTAGGGGAACCTTTGCTGGCCTGGAGAGAGCGCGCAGGACCTTCTTGTCCCTCGGGAACGACGTGAGTTCTGCTTTTTTTTTTTTTTTTTTTTTTTTCAAGACCTAGAGAGAGTCAACCCCCAAACTCAACCCAACCCAACCCCCACCTGCTCCCTTCCTCCTGCGGGAGTCCAGGAGGGTGGCAGGCCTGTGCCAAGGCTGCTTTTCCCGGTCCTGATCGCTCCATCGTGGGTGCAATTGCAAGAATGCGCTCCTGGGGCCAGGAACCCTGAATCCCCCTTTAAATTCAACAAGGCGAGGGTCCTAGCGGTCCTGCTGTTGGGGGGCGTCGGCGCGGCAGGGTCCGGGTGTGGATCCCTCGGGCGCGCTCCTTTCTCCCCAACTTGAGCCTCACCACCCAGCAGCTAGAAGCCCAGGCGGAATAGCATAAGGAAGTGCCCGGGGCGCAGCGGAACGCAGGCCCAGGCTGGAACTGGAGTGCTTCGGCTGTTTGGGCGCCCTCGGTGGGGATCCTGGGACTAGAGAGCTGCGCGCGGCCCGCAGCGTCTCCTCCAGGAGCCAGGCCTTCCTGGGCTCCCTGAGCCTCTGGCTTCCCTGGGCACCAGCTCTCTCTGTCGCCCCCGAGGCACCCACAGAGTCTGCCCTCCGCAGTGGACCTTGGGTGAAAGGGCCACTCGGGCCCTGGTGCCATTTGCACAGGACTTGGTGGCTCTTGAGATTTTCCGCCCTCCTCCTCCGCCTAGCCCGGAGGGACCGTTCCCGGGTGGCGCGCACGGCGGGCTCGGCCTCCGGGGCAGGCGGTGCAGACTCCGCCTGGCTGCTGCTTCCGGAGGGTGCAGCCGCAGGCCCGCGGCCGGCGCTGGAGAAGGGACACGTTTAGGCTGGCCTGAGCTTCTCGCCGTCCCCAGGGGCCTGAACGAACTCCACCACCACCAGGTTGGGAAGTAGATGATGCCACCGGAGCCCCCAGACCCCCAGGCCCGTGGCTTGGCACCTGAAAGCCAGGCCGCTCTCTAACCTCCCACGGGCACCAGCCACAGGCCGCTGGCTGTAGGACACACGAGCCTCGCCCACCACGACCTTGCATCTTTGGGCAGGAGTCCGCGAAGCCTCGCCCCCCAGTACACACTCTGCCAGGGAAGGCCTAAACATTCCTCATCCCTGGAATTCAGCCTGGGACCTAGGAAGGCTGGCACTGTTCGGGCCTTCTGGCCTCTTCTTGGCGTTTTATTAGGCCAAACAAAACCTCTTAAAAACAAAACTTTAATGCGACCCTCTTCCAGGAAAAGTTGGGCACAGGCAGCACGATTCCAGAGCTCGGAGCTGAGGGTTAAGGCAGGAGGATTCCCCGACGTGCGGGATAGAGCCAAGTCACTCAGGTGCAGTTATTGGCTGAAGGGTGCCAGGATGTGTTGCGGGTCGGGTCCTGGCCTAGTGCTCGTGCGCCCCGGGAGGGAAGCACAGCCCTCCCCGGGCCATCCTGGAGCGGCCTCCCTCCTCGCCTCTCCGCGGTTCATTCCGCTGGTGGAGGGGGCGGGGACCCTCAGCCCTCAGCGCGGCTCTCCGGAGCCTGCAGCTTGAGCCCATCCACCAGGCGGCGCTGCGGATGCCAACAGAGCCGGAAAGTACCAGGCACCAAGGACAGCCCAAAGGCCTCAGGCTGGGTGGCCAGCCCAGGACCCCAAGCCGCTTCCACCTCTCCTGTTTTCAGGGGTTCCCCTCCCTGTCACTCCTCAGCCATTTCCTGCTGCACACCATCTTGCTTCTCTTCCATCCGTTGTAGCTTCCAGTTAGGTGCGTTGTGTGTCCACGCAAACCCACCCGCTTCCCTGTCTCCGAAGGGTTAGTACAGCCCCCCCGCCCTGTCCCTCCTAACTTCCAGAAGTTCCCATTGCCGCTCTCCAGGTTCCAGCAGGCCCCCTTTTCTGGCCAGCTCTTCAATTTGCGAGCATCTCCTGCCTGAAACAGGTGGCCTAGATACAGTGAGAGAGCCAGGGTCCTTGGAAAAGCCTGTTTCGAAGGCCGGAGACAGCCCACAGGAGCCCCTTACGGGCCTTCTGCTGGGCTTTGACCTTCACGGAGAAACTGAGGCAAAGTCCAGGAAGCTGATGGTAAGGTCAGAGGGCAAAGCTGAGGATGCTGGACTTGGTGCCCCTACAGGAGGGGATTTTAACGGAGGACAGTACCTGAACACTGAGATTGACTCACGTGGTATAGGGAGGTCGGGGGGAGTGTCCTCTGAGTTGTCTTAATTTTTATTATGGAGTTGGTTTTTTTCAAACACAGAGGTAGGAGGAACCCTGTAATGGACTCCCACAAACCCTCATCCAGCCTCCGTAACTGTCAACTCCTGGGCAATCTTATTTCCCCTCTGCCCTCTCTGAAAACCCACCCCACACACTGGCATGGCTGCAGACATCCTGCAACTTTACCTCCTCAGCTGTCAGTCGCTTCCAAGCAGGGATTCAACCTGCGCCTGGGCTGGCATCTGTAACATGGCATATGCGAATTCATTTCTCCAGACCGCGGGCCTGGCACTCAGCCTCCCCTCAAACGGGACATCCAAGAGTCCCAGATCCCAGAGCACGCCTCGGATGGTAGTGGGATTGGGAAGCGAGGGGGGGGGGCGGTTCTGTACAGTGACTTTGAGTCCTGGCCTGGTGGGGCATTAGGAGACATTCTTTTAAATGTGCTACAGTAGAAAAGACAGGTCCGGGGCTAAATGAGCCAGGCTCTTAGCTCCACGTTGGCCTACTCCATGGTTCGCTTCCTCTTGTCCTCCATGTTCTCATCAGTAAAACGGGGACACTGATACCATCCTGCCAGAGGTTATTAGCCTCAAATAAAATAATAATTTTAAGTGCTGGGAACAGCTCAGTGATAGAGCAGTGAGGACTGGGTCTGATTCTCAGCACGGGGCGGGGGAGGGGGAAGCAACGATAATAAAAATTTGAAGTGTCCATGTCCCTACCTGTCCCGCTGTGGCTCTTACTGAAGAGCTACTTGTTAGTCCCTTGACCCAGTGGCCTCTCCAGGGTGCCCGTAATCGTGGTTCATCTTTGGAGAGGTCCAGTTTTGTGTCAGTTCCTCACAGTTCAAGCCCTCTGCTTGCTAGCTAGACCCCAATCTCTCACCCAGCTGTGCCAACCATTCAGCCCATTCCTGGAATGCCTTCCTCCCCCTCTCTGCCCCTGTTAGAGTGTAAGTGTGAAGGGCCTTCACAGACTCATGTGTCTGAACTCACTGCCCAGCAGCTGGTGCTGGAACCTTCTCAGGAGGTGGGGCCTGGCTGGAAGGGGTATGTTACTGCAGACGCCTTGTGGTTTGTAGATTGCCTCATTCTCTCCTCAGTTGTGATCAGACTCCTCTACCACCACAGAGAACGCTCCAGCTACCATGTCTTCCTGATGAACTGTGTCCCCTCAAAATCGGAGCCAAATGAATCCTCCCTCAAGTTGCTTTGCCCAATATTTTATCCCAGCAACAAGAAAAGTGACCAATATACCACCTCTAAAAATTCTCTCAATACTAGGCTGGGCCCAGTGGCCATATCTATAGACTCTGTGCTTGGGAGGCAGGAGCAGGCAGATCTCTGTGAGTGCAAGGCCAGTCTGGTTTACACAGGCCATCAGGGCTACACAGTGAGACC